GATTCAGCCATCAACCTCACATACCTCGAACCCCCATCTTTCATTCTGGGAAACCTCCGGAGGGATGGGGGCGGCGGCGGCGGCCAGATCGTATGTGCTGTAGTCTCACCTTGAGATCTAGGTAGGTGTACTTACATATTAACATGCCGTCTAGCTTTTTTTTTTTGTCTTTATTTCTTAGGCGGGACTTGCCGTCGACTCAATTGCTCATGGTGATGAGTAAATATCGCGCCGCAAGGGTTTGAGTGAAAGAAAGAGGTTTTGTGAGTCGTGACCCGCTGTGCCTGGATCTCCCGGTCGTCGGTGTTATTACTACTTTCCAATATCCTTTCCCTTTTTTTCTTCCCTGGGAGGCAGGTAATTCTGGGGCCTTGATTGTTTGTGGTTCTGGCGGTGAAACGAAATAAAAAACAGTTGCACGTGCGCCGCTGTCAATATTCCTCTAGCGTGTATGTGTGTGTGTGTGTGTGTGTGTGTGTCTGTTAGTAAGTGAGTCGGTGTTTTTTGCTCGCGCGAGTGAGCGGTGAGAAAACGTTTCGTTTACTATCACCACCACCCCTCCCTCCCGGTCCCAACTCGGCTGCACGACCCCACTGCGCTTGACTGACTATCAAACGAGAATCTGCTATCGACGAACGAAACAGAATATGAGTCGATTGAGAGACAGTAAAGAAAAGGCAGTGTAATGCCATTGTTGCATGACGATTGCTTTGTGTACCACTTCTCTGCTCTGTCTGTAGCGGTTAAAGTGGGTTAATTCTATGAAATCTCGGGGAGTTTCCCCTGAATTGGGAAGACAGACAGATGGCTCACAAGACAAAAAAAGCAATAGTCCAGGGATCGAGGAAAAGCTAGAGTGGAGGTGAGAAGCCCTTGCAGCCCTGTTTCCCGTTTCCTTGGGGTGCACGCAAATCAAATCAAATCAAATTGGGGCAAATCTAACACCGCGAGATCTAAACGAGCAGCAGTAGCAGCAGTCAGGCCAGGTCAGGAGTTGAGCTAGGGGAGGGAAGGGAAGGGAGGAGGAGAAAAGACAGCTAGAAAAAGTAAGCGTAAACAGTGCCTCCGGCGACATCTCGTCTCGGTATCTAGCCTTTCTTTCCCCACCCCCTTGCCCGGTTTTTGCATCGTGGATGTCGATCATGTCGAAAGGTGCGGGCAGGGCAAGAAGGGCCGGGGGACCAGGGGCCCGATGTATGCAGATGGGGGCGATGAAAATATATTAATTTTCAATACTCAACTCTAGAGTACCTAAGCGAGGGTCAACAAACAGGACGGAACCCGATTGTGAGGCGACGGGAAGGATCGTCGTCCGAGGCCGATGGTAGGGCGATATCAGGGCGATGCGATGATAGTAGAGACCCTGGGGAGAGAAGCCGAAACTCGCAATCGTTTTTCTCCACGCTTTGTTTTTTTTATTAGGTATTATTTTTTATTTTTTTTATTTTTATCTTTTCAAATCCCTTCCTATTTCTTTTTAAGATTGGACCCGTAGGGTAGGTAGGTTTTTGATCATGGTTATTTGCTGTTTGACAGTTTGCGTTTTGGTCCATGTCGTGCTCGCGCGGTGAGGTTGCCGTAAAACGGGGTTCATCTTGGGTAAGGAGGTTGTTAGAGGTACTGAATGACTCTAGCTAGGAGGAGTGTGGCTCATGTTATGTTCAGATTTCAGGTTCAGGGTTCTCGGAATTTTCCGAGTCCCCTTAAACCACCAAGATGATGATGGCGGTGGCGCCGAGGGGCTTGATTAGGCGGAGCGATGAGTTCTGACAGCTCGCAAAGCATGCAGCTGTATTCGTTCGTTCGTCATCAGGCAGGAAACCTACATAATACAGATATTTGCGCACACCACCACCTAATTAAAGCTCGAGATGGAACAAAGAAAATAATTGGCTGACTTCCAAGGCCCCTGACATGATAATTAATATCACGCATCGCGGAATAGTTGCGTCAGCAGGCAAGTAGAGAGGAAAACGTTCATCTTTCCCCTCACGATTAAGTTTTGTCGCCCCATCCTTCATGTCAAGATGCCTAACACAGGTACTACCAGCCATGCACCTTATCGCGGATAACGATCACAAGCTTAAACAGCTGTAGTGGCGCCGCGGGCGTACTCTTGTATTTTCTTTTTTGCCCTTTATTGATGTATGTATGTAGGTACCCCGGTTGAGCGATCCGGATCAGCTTTTTGGAGGGGGGTGGAGGTCTTTAATTGAACGAGAGGTGGGTTGCGCATACATCGTCAGCCAGCACAAGGTGGAAGCTGTTGTCGAGACCGTAAGCGTTTACCTGGCTGACTTATATTTGGGAAGGTGGCTTTTCGATTGCGGATGTTGAACTGATATAGGAATTGCATGGTAAGGCAGGGCGACGTCGTGTAGCAAGGCAACGTCGTGTGAATAATTCCCCCACATCGCCCAGGCTCCACAACCGCAGTCCCTACCTCCGACACTAGTCAGCCATCCATCCATCCAGGTACACACAGCTAAATAGTAGAACTGCACGTGCTACTACACTTATCAATTGCGGTTTTTGTTGCTAGTAAATAGTAGTCTGATACAGTAGAGAAGAACTCTGGTGCTGAATAAAGATTTTGTCAGCTAACAATCTGCATCTAAATAAATGCCCAAACTCAGCCGTTTCATGAAGAAAAACTCTAGTTATGACCGTGCTTTTCTTTCCTTTCCCCTTCTACTAACGCGATAGTAAACTGTAGCGAAAAGGTTCGGTTCCGTTAATGAGGCGCTATGTATCTTGGCTCCTGCTTTAGGCGTCCTCCTCCGAGCCTTGTCTCGGATCTCGGACCCATTTGAGAAATAGCTCCGTTTACCACCACAATAACACCAGAATACCGGGACACCAGGGACAAATGCTTGAAGCTTCTGACGGTCTTGGTTCTCGGGGATGGTTTCCCTTACGGACACCAGTGTTTTCCCTTTTTTCTTCTGCCAACCTGCCAACCTCAGCAACAAGTCAGTTCCCCCCCCCCCCCCCCCCCCCCCTTCCCAGACAAACCTCATTCAGTCAGTCTGGTAGTCTGCCTCTGTCCCACTCACACCCCCCTTTACGCTATCACAGGTTACTATTGCTGCCCTGTACCTTGAAATGCTGCCTCCCCAGTCTGTGACCGGGACGGACCAACTGTGGATCCAAGTCCCCACAGCTGTTGACAGTTCAATAATCTGAAAGAGGGACAGCTTTCAAGTTCGGTTCTCTTCCTCGCTAGATGCTCCTGCACTGCGTTGTACTTTTATTCCCATTTGTCCTCATTGTCATTCTATATGGTGGTATCGTGAAACCTCCAGCATCATCATATCATCATATCACCACCATCATACCTTCCTCATCTTTCTCCCTGAACTCCTTGCATTTTCGCAATTCAATCATTTAAACCAATCTACCCCAAATTAGAATTATGCATCGTCTCGTCGAGTATTAGTAGGAATATCCCGAATTGATCTGGTAGAAGAAAGCAGCAAAGAAGGAGAGACATTATCGTCCTCGCTCTCGTCCCCGCATCAAGGTCCAGACGAGAATCTCACACACGCATTACATACATCCCACCCATATCCACACACCCCTCCCCCCTCGTACATCCATACCATACCATACCTTACCTTACCTTGTCTACTGTATCTACGTACGTACATAGCGTCCGTACAAGGACCTCTCCTCGGACCTGTCCACTGATCAGTCGACGATCACTCTGTCCAATTGTTCACCTCTCCCCAATTCCATCAAATCTGGACCTGTTTCCTCTGTCTCTCTCCCTCTGTCTCTCTCCCTCTGTTTTGGCTAGCTGGGCCCTCCACCGCTACGAGTACCCGGATCGTCAGTACAGTACATACAGTTGCGGTTGCAGTTCGATACTATATCGTCGCTGTACCAACCTTAAACTGTATAATATCTCATTGGTCGTTCTGCACAGTCCCGATAGGACCATAAAAGTAGGCGCATCTAATTCTTAGTATAACTACTCTACTTTGCGTACATACAAGACACAGACCTCGGCGGTTTCCCTCAGACGCACGTACAGCCTGGAATTGGAAAAGGGCCAGAATAAGAAAGCTATATCATGCGACATCCAGGGAACGAATCTACCACGAGCGAACACGCATCATCAACATAAAACATAAAACCCCCCCCAGGCATTATAATTATAACCCCCCTCCCAATCGAGACCCGTGGGTCACCACTAGCTGCACACACTTGCCACAAGCACCCCCCCCCCCCCCTCCCCCAAACCCAACGGAGTGATAGCTCTCTTTGGCCTCTCGGCATTCCCACATATACAAAAGCGGCTCTCCCACATTTTTACCCTACGCGGGGATACAACACTATACAGGAAATTTTCCGACACAGCAAAACAGTACTTGCACTCCGGAGACACCACAGACTGAGGGCAGAGGCAACACTGACTGGAAAGAGAGGCACATCAAGAAATCCTTCCTGTCACTACTCCGAGCAAAACCAGTCCACTGGGAAATCATACATATCGTTAGTGTTATCGATACCTACCTTAGTATTTCACATCAGGCGTGTGCGTGTGTGGTTGGAAGAAAAGGAAGTGTGCAAGAGGCTTTCGGAGTCTCTTGATCCCGCTACCATCGATGTGTTGCGACGGAGACCTCCTAACTCGGGGGTTGTTGTTGCTCAACGCATCGTCCGTTCTACTGGCAACCAAACCGCTACTCCAGACTAGAGCTCTCAGGACCGCGACTGTCGCCCTTGTCTTCGCCTCGGCACTCCAATTGCTCGACATCTGGGATTTGACATTTGGGTTTTTGAGGAATTTCGCCTTGGTATGTCTGGGGATATGTCTATTCGAGGTGGCTCCGTTCGTTTGGATGGTCGTGAGGAGCAGTCGGATGAACTTGGAGGAGAAGTTTCCCGGAAAGTTTAGGCCGTTGTTCTTTTTCTGTTCAACGACACACGCTCGTTTCTTGCCTAAGAAACATACATTCAAATATCCGCTACTCTATGTCGGATTTCCGGTCACTATGAAGAATGCTGTAGGAGGGTTATTTTCAGTGGTGGAGTCACAGTCAGAGAAGGCGGAGAATTTGAAGCTGGGCCGGAAATCGAGGGATCGATTCACCTTTTTTTCTATCGACCCGGCGGGTTATACAAACCCAGAACTTCCGTTCGAGAAGAAGCTAGAATCTGTCTTGATTCATCATGTATGAGACTGAATACTTGACTCTTTTAATGTAAAATCCCCGAAACTGACTTTTTTTTGAAATAGGGAATTGACCCATCACTATATCCATTCACTTATATCGTCACAACACCTCGCTTTTTTGGCTATTCGTTCAATCCTGTCTCTTATTATTATCTTTATTCGGCTCAGCAGGAGCTTAAACTCGTTGTTCTAGAGGTAAACAACACTTTCGGCGAGAAACATCTCTATATTCTCCATAGCGACAACCCGGCGAACCCACCGGCCCGGAAAGGGTATACATTTGCAGGCGAAATGGAAAAGACATTTCATATTTCACCATTTAATCATCGATCAGGAAGTTATCACATCCAAGTGCGGGATCCGCTGGATAATTTTTCAAGTGAGGGCTCAAGGGTGGATATGCACATGGTAGTGCATGCTAGAGACGGGACGAAGAGCATGGTTGCAAGGGCTTTTTCGGTGTCACCATCATTTGACATGGTTACCGGAAGTACATGGAGGGGGTTAAACATTGTCGTTACATGGGGATATAACACGTTTCTGGCAGTGCCTGAAACTATGTATGAGGCATGGAAATTATACAGAAAGAAGGCCGTTGTATATACAAGGCCGGAGGTCCTTGTTGGAAGTGGTCAAAGAGACGCAACCAAAGCGGAGAGGTTTGTAATTCTTTTCTGCGAGAAAAATCGCATTCAAAATCGTATGGCGCTGACATAAAATGTTTACAGTTGCATGCAGAAACTCTGGCTGGATTATTTCAGGTGCCGGGTGGAAACTTACAATGAACCTCTTTTAGTCACCTTGACTTTGCCCGAGTCCAATGCAACCAAGGTTGCGGAAGTCGTGACTTTCCAGTCCAAGACACGGCCAAAACCTCGGGCTTTAACGCTGTCCTCTGAGCCGATATTTGCAACACCGGAATTAACCCCACCTCCTACACCCACCCATCTGACAGTCCGGGTTTCAAATCCTCGGTTTTTTGCGCGATATTTCTCGCACCAGGACCCTAAGCAGACAATTTATCTCGATATTACTTCACAGCCAGATGAACGAAAGTTGGCACAAATCAATGATCTCCCGCTGTTCCAGGATATTCTTTCACCAAAACAAGAGAGAAAATTCCCGTCGAGTAGCTGGATGGATTGGAGATGGAAGATCACATCGTGGTGGAGACGTAGGAAAACATCTGCAGAACTCGATAGCTTGCCGCCGGAAGACGCTCAGACGCCTACGGTTTACGAGTGCTCTAGCATGAGCACTCTCGATGAACACTTCCTCACAGCGGATATGAAACCGTTATACCGGAAGACGACAATGACTGCTGTTCTTATCGATTGTATTGCGTTTGGAGAAGCTGAGAGTCTAGAGTTGTACGAAAAGATTGTCAGGCTTCTTCTGCGGTCGTGTCTCGTCGTCATGACTATATTTATGGCGTTGAGCTTCAAGACACCCGGCTCTTTCTTAATTTCAGCTCGAACAGCGGATTGGTCGAGTCTGATGGGCAGTCTACCGGTGGGTACCCTCGCACTCATCAATGGTCCGCTCTTTTGGGATGCTGCCCTTTCAGCATTCTGAGTGTGATTCTCTTTTAACTTCTTGTCCATTTTTATTGGATGTTGAGTGTTTTTTTTCTCTCCATCCACTTATATTTCAATAATCTGGGTTTTTGATATTTCTTCATTTTGGGCATTAGGGAGCGGGAATTGCTTTTACTATATTTGGTTTTAAATATTGTCTTATGTTTTAAAAACTTCACTTTTCTTTTCTTTTAACTATTGGGAGCATTTTTCTTTCATATCCGGGAAGGCATGGGATAGATGGACTTGGTGGGTGGGTGGGGGAGGGCTAATACGGTCAGTTGGTCTTTTGCTTTTTTACGTCGCCGTCATCGCGGAACCTTTTTTTCCTTAAACTTCTACATCGACACCTTTTTGCATTTGATGCTATCCTCTAAATTATCTGGATACTGCTATCACACAATCCCTACAATTTTCTTTACTACTATATTATCTCCTCTTATCAGCTCATACCTTTTTTTTGTATATCCTGCTTTTTCTTTCTTTTTTTTTCTCATTGTGTATTTTCTATCATGATAGGGGCCTACTAGGAAGGTTGTGGTGGTGGGAAAGCTACAGGAAGAAGTATTTTTTTTGTCTATGTATCCGTACTGTGTATGTGCTGCATTGTTATCTATTTTCTTGTTCATATTGTTCTTCCCTTTCGACTTGACTGTAAATTCGAGTTGAGCACATGTAGCTACATGTGGCGTTTACAAAGGCACAAAAGCATAAATGCTACTCTATCTATCTACAAGTACATATCTCCTCATGATCACAAACATGGTACTAGTAGGTCCATCACTTGACAGCCGTGCCGGTACCGAGAAGTGGTAACTGGGAATTACATAACTCGGAGAGAAGGTCGGATTACCTAGTGATCAGCTACATACATACATGTACATATATCCGCAGCTGCAGGAAGCGGGCAGTAGGGCAATGTGTGGTGCACATGTACACTACATGTACTCCAGTGGAGTAGATCACGCCGTGCCAGTAATACATAGAGTACCTACAAGATGATTGGGAGCAAGCGGGATAAGCGCGAACCAACGGCCGGTACTCTTCTTTTAACTACCGTTCTCACCTCCCGATAATCAGGAAAGTTGTTCGTGCTATGGGGGCGATGAAGCCACCGCTGGGCTGATCAAAGTCGATCGCGACACATATGACATTTGAGCGGACACCTATCCCATCCATCTATCCATCAACGCACTTCATCCCCCCATCCACTGCCCCGCCGGATTCACCAGCCATCCTTATTATCGTTAACGTCCACACCGACAACGAGGGGTACCGAAATACCCACCCTATCTTCTTCCATCTGTCTATCTATCCTCGACCTTGGCGGTAGGGTCTACGAGTGATCATTCGATTCATCATCTTGCATTGGCTAGAGGAGATGCACTGCATTTGTTTATGGGGCAATCGATTCGCTGGATCGTGTTCACATGGTTTAAGATCCAGCCGCTGTATGAAAGAGGTCATTTCGAACCAATACCGGGGGCCCACTTACTTGCAAACAGGGCTTATGATATGTCGAAGCCCACAGTTAGCCTGATGCTCAGCCCCGTGGTCATGGGCATTGAGGGGAATAGTGAAAGGAAACCATATGCTATGCAGGTATATATCCTGTTTTTTTTATTACCCAACCCCGAGTTTTCAGTACCCCGCCATTTGCACTAGCTGATCGCACTGACCAACATTCAACGGATAGCGGAGAGAGTTATTATATTCAGTAATCATCTGATTTACTTTTAGGGTTTCAGAACAATTTGAACGTATCACATCATACGTACATGAATACATACCTTACATATCTACTTAATAGGTACATGTATGTACGTACATTAAGAGAATATTGCTATAGGCTGAATTGTAATTATAATTAGTAGTGCACCAATAATTTCATTTCCACTTCTCCTGACACTTTTTCGTGATAGATTAATTGAGGGCTAATAAAGACGTAGAGAGAATAAATCCACACCTCACCCCTAATCTATTTACAATGAACCTGGTCTGCAGATATGTACTATGTACTCTCGTAATTATAGTGGTATTTTACACTGCACAAAGGTATTCACACACTGCGATAACCATGATCGGGGGTCGCCGCTTTCATAATTCATAATGATAATGATATTACACATATTATCCTTAGAATCTCTAATCGTGAAATTGCAATAGGTAGGTAAATGTCGAAGGCTAGGCATTCCTTGAATGGTTGATTATGATTTAGTTGCGCTTATGGTTTACCAAGCATGCGTGCAACCGGAAGGAACCTAGTTAGTTAATCCGGAAAAGGCGGCTTTGAATTTATGGTACCGATTTCACAAGATCAAAGCATGGGTCGGGCTCGGGGAAGGGCACCTGCACTGCGCTATGCGGTGCGGTGCGGCAGGGTGGCACATGTAGGTACACCCCCGGGTATCTACATAGAGTGAAGAAATCTGGGGCTAATATATGATAGTGATCCACCGAGTTTGAGCTTTGGGAGGTCATTGATGTGTTGCACATTATTTACGCAAAATAGGGGCGCGGTTTTTAAAGTTGTCCGCCTCCACTTACCCTGTTCCACCGGGAGATGAGCATTTACTTGGAGGCGGTATTTTTCCAACAGTTGCCTGCGTTGTTTCGCCTTCAGCCCGACCTCGGCAAACCGCGTGTGCTATATACTGATCTGTTGATCTATGGTACATGCGATTGCACCTAGCTGGGTTATATCATCAAGTTCCCGAGGCACAGTAACTAGTATGCGGTTGGCCACTCGTCTGGTGGTGATAGTGTTGCGTGCAACGAGATGTCTTCTTAAGGGCCCCAATCATACAAAGCAAATTAAGTTACTAGATATTGATGGATTTTCTAGGTAACCCAAACTAGTGTCAGCCTATATCATGCAGCCAATATAGGGATCCAATTTCAATTTTGACACCCAGACCCACAACGCACGTTTACCCGGCTCACGAGTGAGAGCACATGACGGTAAGCACAGTTGCCTAGGCACCAAGCTCGGCTCGGGATTCGTTAATCGGCTTCCGCCTAAGACAATCATATCGCCGAGGCACTTTTATGTTCGAATCCGTCGAATATTCATCGCCTCCCTTGTTACAGGAAAAACAAAAAAATGTCGCATTTTATCGTGTAGGCCGAGCTTACTTGACATGTGGCGCCGAAACTCGCTCGGATAGCAATAATTTGACCGCACCCCGTTGAAATCGGTGGCAGGGCGAACTTCTCGACACTGCATCGGGCCCCGGAAACCCCGAAAGTTCGCCCGCCCCACCCCGCCCCGCTCCGACCTTGTTAACTGCAACGATAAATTCGGTACTTGACTTACCGGGGGGGGGGGGGGGGGGGCACGTTTTCAACAGGGTAATTATGGTAGCATGTATGGCGGACCTAGAAAGGTCACAGATACGATATAACTACTTTGCGAATACAAGTCCTACCGGTGTGGCGTAGTTTAAACAATAATCGCCGACTGGCTTCATCCTAGCTTAGTTTCAGTGGTTGAGACCATGGCCTATGCGAGGGAGATGCGTCGGCGAGTAATGAAAAAAACGTAGATACAGATGATTCTGCCACTTAATCTTCTATAAGCGACCTGAATATGACAAATCTAAAGACATAGATCTATTTGATTTCAAAGAAATTACCAGTCATGTATAGTCTGCGAGTGATAATGCGTGGATACAGAGTCTGTCTTGCTACGTATGAAGGATGTAAAGGGTGCCTTACTTAAACGTAGGTAAGGAATCATTATGGTTTCCATGGAGAGAGAAACGCCTGGTGCGAATGAAATTAGTAGAAGACTGTAGATTCCTAACTGAACAGGCGCACATAGGCCTCGACCTCGTATTTAACCCGAATCGCTTGTATCACTTCCCCAAAGTGAAGATTTGGATATGCTCAAATTCCATAGAAAACGAGATGGCTGCGTAGAACGATAGCCTCGGCACTACATTTTGAAATCCCGGTTATTAGTACGAGTGAGATGAGACACAGCTAAGCCGAAAAGAGAATATGGCAACTATTATATGTGAGGTAGAAACGGCTGTATATGATTGGTAAGAAAAGAGCACATAACATACTCCCTCTATGTTTATATTGAAATTGTATAAATCAGTTTTCGTTTAGTACCAAAAGACAAGGCGTCGAGAAAATTTATTACGAATCTGTCAGCTGGACGCTATTACCTAACGGACCCCTGCGGTTCTCGGCTCGTACCCAACCTTCGTTTCAAATTCTTACAACTTTCAAAGACTTCTCAGCTTTGCAATAACGGCCAAGTAGATTCGTCTAATTCTATGGGAAGATGAGAGTTAATTGGTGCTTCCAACGTGAATGTTTATTTTTATCTTAGAGACGTATCTATATGATTCAGTACTGACTTACTTGAACAGAAACGCAAAGACACATTTCAATGTTTCTACCGTCGAAATTCATATTGACAGATGGTCATAGTGCCATTGGACTCTAAATTTGCCATTGTATGCATATCCACTTTCATTTGTGCCAAAACCGGATTTTCATATCAGAAACAGCAGTCACGTTTGGATCATTTATACCCAACCACAATCGACGTCGTCAAATCCTGTAGATTTACACTTCCCCCTCATTTTATGTTGCACACCTGATTTCATACACTGAAAATCGATTGGAAACTGACGTAAAGACGGATTTACGCTCCGTCCCTACCCTATCGTGGGATCCAGACAAGTCTGACACATATCCGGATCGAGGAAGAATTCTATTGCACGACATATAACCCATGGTCATGAATATGACCGACCGTCTCACCGACTTATATGTAGGTCAGTATGTATGCCAAGAGAAACACTGCCTAGCTTTGAGGTCAAGAAGCTGGTAGAACCAATAAACACTTGAGGATCAAGAGATCTCACTCGATACAATACCGGCCGACGTATTCGGTGCTTTGAGACCAGGGCCTGGGCCTTTGAAGATCGAAGTGGGTATCCGCCGTTAACATTCTGACTGTGAATTCGTGCTTTTCAGACA